ATTTTCAACTTGAACGCTCTAGAATTGATAAATTACACAAACGGCCTATAGACTTTCTAAATAAACCAGTTCATCACAAGAATATGACACATGCTAGAGGAATAAGTGGTTTAAGTTCACCACTAAAAATTCTACATGCATATATGAAGATAATGCAACTAGTATTGAACAAATGGAAGCAGAATATATCAAAGGTGATAACACAAATCATATTTCGACAAATTTTTCTACAATGGGTAACAACAAACTCTCCTTAAGATTCATGTAAATTAAGTAAAGTTTGAAAAGAATATAGTAGATTTGTTTTTCAAATCATTACCTAAGGCTACATTAAAGAAACATGTGGAAAATGTTGAAATGCGAAGGTTTTCTAAGCTCCCTTGATTGATATACGAATCAAGGGGAGTAATAGAAAAAATAAGGTGTCTACTAAGCTTGTGCTATTAGTAGGTTGTGCTCTTTTCTTCACCCAATTTTTTATTTTCCCCATTAGGTTTTGTTCCATGGTGTAAGGTTGTAGTGAGGAAATAGTTTATACATCATCTTGTTTTCTAAACCTCTTTATTGATGTACGAATCAAGAATGATAGTAAACTAACAGAATTGTTTAGTGGTGCCTTATACTCTTTCCTTCGTCCAAAGTTTTTCTTTTTCCCACTGGGTTTTGTTAATTTGGCATACCGTTTTAATGAGGTAAACATTATGCATCATATCTCCTTTGACTCAACAGAAGGGGGAGCGTTGCAAGATTATATGTCATCATCAAAAGGAATTGATTAAAAGAATACTTTCTAAATATTAAAATTTATCATAGTAAATGTAAACTCATTCTTATTATTGATATAAGTATTTCTTTTCTTTCCATCTAAATACTAAAAACCCCTTCTTATCAATATCACATCGAAATAAGTTAATAACCACTTTCATAAGCAATCACAAAACACCCCTTAATATTAACTAGAATGGTACTCGCACAATGCAGCGAGATACATCTTGATTTTATTTTTTTGTCGCAATCGATGTTATAATACGGTTTTATGTGGTTTTGAGAAAATGATAATGTTTTCATTTTTGAACAAAATATAAATATGAAGATATTATAAAATATTTAAAAAAGTACCAAACTAACTATTTTTTTGTGTATTTCTGTAGTGCATTTCTTTTAATTTTTGGTTTAATAATATAATTTTCTTATAAAGATAACAATTAATTATTTTTTTAGAACTCGATAATTATCTTAATTATATTTTAGATTTTTTATATTTTAATATGAGATGTTTATCTTCTATTTGATTATATTTATCCGCAGTTAGTTATACGAATTCAAACATCGAGCTTTAATAAGTTGTACTTATGCATAATTTACTTGTAATCTTGAATTTTAAGTAATATATATTAATAAACAGTACTTCATGCATAAAAAATGATTTTTAAGAGTTTTTATCAAATGTTTTATAATATAACTAGAARGRTACYCGCGCAATGCAGCGAGATAAATCTCGATTTTAATGTTTAGTTTTTATTCTTTATCTCTAACGATATAATACGATTTTATGTGGCTTTGAGAAATCGATAATGTTTTTATTTTTAAATAAAATATAAATTTGAAGATATCATAAAATTTTGAAAAAAAAATAAATCGATATTAATATCAAATTAACTATTTAATAGTTCCCGATCTTTGGTATAAGTTCTTTAATTCAATTTTTATTATAATTTAATTTAGATTTAATAACAAATTAATTT